GTAGGTGTAGGTATATATATATATATAGGGAGAGAGAGCGAGAGAAAGAGAGATTTGTTGAAGCTGCAAGCAACGTCTTTCTGTTTACTTTACTAGAATACGTTATAACTTCACTATTCAACAATATACCGTTACTGATTCTAATTAATCATATAAAGGATAGTATAATAAAAAAGGGGGAAATGAAAAATAGTTAAAGGGGCTGGAAGGAATAAATCGGAAAAATTTAAGTATGAAAACATTGTGCTCATAGAAATAAAATTCTAATTACAACAGCTAAAAGAAGACGATTATAAAGTGGGCATGGCTGAAAACGAGCAAGAAAATATTTTATTTCCATAGTCAAAGAAGAAAAATAATATATTGGAAATTAAAGCAATACTAAATTTAAGGAGGATGACGATTACATTGTTTCACCAGAGTAATATGAATATCTAGTAATAATAGGTGTTTATAGTGAAGTTTTTTCAAAACGTAATAAACCTGCATATTTTAATATTAACATGTTTAATATTTTTATTAAAAGATATTTATGAAACACCATATATTTATATAAAATTTATTCAGACATGTTAATATACATTTATAAATTTCTAAGGTATTAACTGTGTTTTTCTTCTTTGTTGTTTAGACTGAAAACAGTAAAGAGTGGAGTGTTATCTACTTAACTTTGGTCTGTCCGATCAAAGCTTGAACCAACTATATGAATGCTTTAAAGAGTGTTATCCAGGTTTTGCTGACTTCTATGCTAGGTTAATTGTGTGTGTTATCAGTTCGATGGGTGTACAAGGTTACTTTTATCTCTAGTATTTATCTTGCAAGAGGTTAATATGCTATTAATTGGTGTATTTCAAGTTATTGCATGATATTCACTAGCATGTTGGGCTATGCAGATGGATTGATATCACTGAGTCTTTTATGTTTATCATGCTCTTGAATTCTGATTCGTTGATCTCTTTGTTTCTCCTGTGTATTGGAATCACATAGGACGAAAATGGCGTTTTTCTTCTCTATTGGATCTTTCAGTAGTTTGATATGTACTAACTGAAATCAAGTTTTCTTGTTGCATTTGAATACTAAGTTAACGTTGAGGAAACCTCTGACGTAGGAAGAATATATCTGTACGTCTGGTGTTTTCTTCTTTATGTTTGTCCTCTTACTGAGGTCGAATTTAAATAACCTACCCCATCTAGCGCATTTAATATTTATTCAGTAATTGAAAGCACCATCCTCGATTGGGGATTGAAGGATAAAAATGTTGCTTGGAAGATTAGCCAAATAAACATAGAATGAATTTAAAAATTCGTATTTGAAATGAATAGTAAATTTAAAAAGGTCTTGAAGTTGGAAAATAAAAGGAACACGCTCATTTATCTAAGTAATGTTGTTGTTTTTAATTTTATGTTTTAAAACGATTGTAAAAACAATTTTAATGTGGCGTTACTTAGCTAATAACAGTTGTTTATCATTAGTCATTTTCAAATAGGTTCTTAATGTAAAAAATAAAAACAAACATGGGTTAAAAAAAAAGACCGAAAATAATTTGTTCACCATTTCATGACAAAACATTATCATTTTAAATGTTATTTTCTGTTCGTCATAACTATAAGAGCTTTAGTATACTTTCCGTTTGGAAACATTGTGAATCAGGCAATGACATAAACCGTTTTTTGAAGAAAAAATAATAATAGTGTAGTAAAAACGCTTTTGTAACTTAGGAAAAATTACACGAACAGTTGAACACTATAGCTTAAGTAGTTAAACACTAGAGTTTTTCTGCAGTTGAATGGTGAAACTGGAATAATTTACTATCGTAAATTGAGAAGTTAACTAGCAGAGCTTCAGTACTTTGATGCATGATTACAGCATTTTTCAAATTGAGTAATTAAGTGACGAAATTTCATTCGGATTCTATCATTCAAGGTTTTTGCTTTGCCTAGCTCATTGGTCATTCATCGCTTTGTTTTGCTTAAATGGAGGCAGTAATATCTATAAATCATGAAAGTAACTTGTAGCATGGAAAGACTGCTTGTAAATGGAATTAGGATTTTTAACCTGCACATGAGTTAAACGATCAGGTGAAAAACTCACGAGAGTCAGGCATAGCCGCCAATAATTTGAAGTATTGACGAGGGAGGGCATCCAGCCAGCATCCCCCATCGCCACAAGAGCTTTATCAGTGTCCTCCTAAGTTAATGTCGTCGATTAATCTAATGTTAGGTTTATTTTATATTTGACCCCCCCCCCATATATATATATCATTATCCCCTAGGGAAGAAAAAGAATAACTGAACTGACTTTCACTTTTATAAGTCACTCACAGTTTAAACGACAGGGCTTGTTCAGTGACATCACGTCTTGAATCATCGTTCCGAAGTACTAGACGTTAACCACAAGGCAGGTTGCTTGTAGAAGAATATTATCATTACAATAGTAGTGTCTGTTGGGGGTAGTAATGAAATTAAATTTCATCATATATCGTGTAAAAACAATTTGTTTTTCTAAATTCTACAAAATAACGTATTTAATAAAAACAGAAAATATTTCCTTATTATACTATCGATTCCAGTTAAATGGAAAAATATAACTGATATTAAATTTTTATACAGGTTTTGCATCATTTGTTGAACGCTACAGCATCAAGGCTTAATGATTTGGTTTTGAGTAAAATATTCAGTACATTTTAGAGCTATACGGGCCACGAAAGAACGATGATACTAGAAATTTGACGTCTCTATGCATGTTTGATTAATTTCTTTCTAATACAAAATGATTTTGTAATACTAAGAAATAAAGAACTTTAACACCATCCCACAGCCACAGAGTAGCATCAGTTTCCTCGCCAGCATATTTCACATTCCAATTACAGCTGTTTTTCCAGACTATCTCCCTTAACGCTCAGCTATAAGTAATATTCTTAACGTATGTATTATTTCGGAATTATAGCATAGGTATCTTATTCGTGATTATCAACGTTATTAGACTGAAGCAAGTGTCTGATCTGCAGAGTTAGAAGCTTTCTAGTTGATAAAAGCGCCAACTGCCAGTCGGTCAGTAACCTATCAACACCATCAATCATTGGAAATGTATCTGTGTTTCACTGTTTGATGTGCTGTACTTCCAAGACTGCCTCGTGAAATGTCTCACGAGGCATGCACACGCCATCTGTTATTATTCGTCTGAAAGTCATCCGAACCGAAATGAAAAACAACAGTTTTAAGAAGCTGA